CGGCTGGGGCGTCGCCGGCTTCCGCGTCGACGCCAGCAAGCACATGTGGCCCGGGGACATGAAGGTGAGGAGGTGGAAGCGCTTAAAAGATTTCGACTATTCCCATTTGCATATCATTTTCCAAAATACCGTGATCCACTTCCTTCTATTGGGGTTACAAAATTCCATGAATTACATATGTATCTAAAAAAAAACACTGCAAACCATGCTGAGATTTTGATGATCAGGAATTAATAATGATATTCATCTTAGGTCATTTTTGATCGACTAAATGACCTCAACACGGCTTATTTCCCGGCGGGTTCCAGGCCGTTTATTTACCAGGAGGTGATCGACTTGGGTGAGTGCGTCCTATACTTTCCCTTTTATAGTGCAATATTATTATACCAGTGCAACTAGACGTTTTCTATGATTTGTAGATGGATGATTAGTACTTTGTTTTAGTAATTCCTATGGGCTAAATACGAAAATAAATGGCATTAACATCAGCATTAGCATCATCGTCATCATCATCGTCATCTACATTGTCATCACCACTAATACTTAACACCATCCGCCGGCGGCAGGTGGCGAGCCCATCAAGGGGACGGAATACACCGGCAACGGACGCGTGACGGAGTTCAAGTACGGCAAGTACCTGGGCGAGGCCTTCCGCGGCAGCAATGAGCTCCGGTGGCTGAGCAACTTCCACGAAGGCTGGGGCATGTTGCACCGGGATAACTCCGTGGTGTTCATCGATAACCACGACAACCAGCGAGGCCACGGCGCCGGCGGAGACATGATCCTCACCTTCCGCGTCTCCAGATGGTACAAGGTGTGTTCGTTTGCGTATGATTGAACATCTGAACATCCTGATCCTGATAAGAGAATGGAATAGAGCGTATTTTCCTTTGGAGAAGCCAGGCTTCTAGACGGAGCATGTCCCTTCAGAACACTAGTAAAATTGGCAAGTATGTTTTGCATCTGGATATCATAAACAACTGCTTGCTTCATATCTTAATCTTGCCATTAAAGCGTTACGAAAGCAAAAATGTACCTGCAGATGGCTAACGCGTTCATGCTGGCTTGGCCTTACGGCTTCACCCGCGTGATGTCGTCGTACTACTGGGACCAATGGTGGGAGAATGGCCAGGATAAGAACGACTGGATCGGACCTCCTCACGACGGCAGCTTCAACATCATCAGCCCGAGCTTCAACGCCGACGGCAGCTGCGGGAACGGCTGGATCTGCGAGCACCGCTGGAGGCAGATCTACAACATGGTGGAGTTCCGGAATGTTGCCCATGGTGAGTTCGAAAACCGCAGGGCTTACGACTTTGAAAACGATAATTTGCAACGAATCATCATTTTTGCTGCCACCAGAAATATCTGAGCCTGCCTGCATCAGATAAATCAATGACTAGCCATCACGAATTGCAACAGGGACGGACATGAACGACTGGTGGGACAACGGCAGCAACCAGATCGCCTTCTGCAGAGGCAACAAGGGCTTCCTGGCCATCAACAACGACGGATGGGATCTGAAGGAGACGCTGCAGGTCCGTGATTCCAGCATCATCATGACAGGTTTCGCTTCATAGATCCAGTGCCGCAGATTATAAGAATAAAACAAACACGGCAAGACGCATTCATGATCCGTATGTGTTTCCAGACTTGCCTTCCTGCGGGTACGTACTGCGACGTCATCTCCGGGTCGAAGGACGGAGGCTCCTGCACGGGCAAGAGCGTGACTGTGGGCGGCGACGGAAGGGCCTACGTCGAAGTCCTTTCAGCCGACTACGATGGCGTTCTTGCCATTCACGCTAATGTAAGTCTTCATGACTGACTCGTACAGGAAGTAGGGAAGAACAAAGGAAAACATGGCCAATTAAATGGCGAAATTCACCTGAAATCAAACTGATATATCTCTATGATTGTTATTTTATGAAAGCATTAAGCTTTCTGTATTACTATCAAATTAAACCGCAAATCTGTCAGTCTTCACTGTTACTTATGCAAAATCCTTTTGTTTACAGTCCAAGTTGTAGAAATCAAGAAAATAAATGAAGAGCGAGAGATAGAGGAAAAAGCGGTTGACCTTGGAAATTAAAGAGCAATAATGGCGGTGACAGCAACTTCCTTTCATTCAAAGACCAATGCAGCCGCCATGACCTTGCCGGTGTATGTGAACGGCCCAACACACTGGGCAAGCAATTGCTAATTTAATGAACCACTCTGTAGAATTCCGGTTTCAATAAACTTTTTTTCTTATGTTCCTTTTCTACCTTCGTATTTTCGCGAAAAATTTATAGTTTTTCTTCATATACTATCCTGTAATGTTAGTCAATATTATTCATTCTATCATTTATGATTTTGCTATGCTTTTACGAGATTTTCGTTAATTTCTAAATTAATAAAAAAAATGATGAAGGCCTTTTTCGAGAATCGAATGGCAGAACGGTTTCACATTTCATCGAGTGCGTCCAAGCACTGCTGCTTGGGAAAGCAAGCGTTGAGTCATGTAACTGTTCAACCATTCATCTCATCTCATGTTGAAAGCAGATGATGTAGCTGTATTTTATACATTCAAATAACACATTTTACAAGCGAATATATAATATATATATATATATATATATATATATATATATATATATATATATATATATATATATATATATCATGGAAACATCAAGTTCAGTAGTCGATCATTGCCCAATCTCGAGCACGGACCACTAATGGGTCTATCCTGTATTCGCAAAAGCGTTTGGAAGGCCGGTCACGGGCAAGCAGGCGGCGGCGGCCACGTCCCTCCACCCTCGCTCCGCCGACCAGGGGCTCCGTCCCGCCCGTCACCCGGCCTTCGGCTCTGACGCAAACGCTATCGGCTCGCCATTATGAGTGGGTATTTTTGTGTTTTTTATCTCAATCATGATCATTCCCTTATCTTTCTAATTCACGTTCGTAAGAATGTCATTATCACGTCATTCATGATTACTGTATCAGATTTTAGTCATATTTAATCGTGATGTCGTCATCCCATCGGCCCATAGTAAACGCTAGTATCATCACCCACACCCACACACCACTGCAGTCATCACCACCATGACACACAGTCATCTCACCACACATGACTAACTCACTGCAGTCATCACTACACCATGACTGACACACTGCCAGTCATCACCACACCATGACTAACACCACTGCGCAGTCATCACCTACACCATGACTGTCACCACTGCCAGTCATCACCACCAGCCACCATGACTAACACCACTGCCAGTCATCACTACACATGACTGCTGCCATCACTCAACACCATGACCACCACTGCCAGTCATCGCTACACCATGACTGTCACCACTGCCAGTCATCACCACACCATGATAACACCCACTGCCAGTCATCACCACACAACCATGATAACACCACTGCCAGACCTGACTGACACCACTGCCAGCACCATGACTACTGACACCACACCCATGACATGACTGTCACCCAATGCCAGTCATCCACACCATGACTAACACCACTGCCAGTCATCACTACACCATGACTGACAACACTGCCAGTCATACACCATGACTAACACCACTGCCAGGTCATCGCTACACCAATGACTGTCACCACTGCAGTCATCACCACACCATGACTAAACACCACTGCCAGTCATCACTACCACTGGTCTCACCATGACTGACAACACTGCCAGTCATCACGCACACCATGACTTACCACACCACCCTGCCAGTCATCACCTACACCATGACTAACACCCACTGCCAGTCATCACCCACAATGAACCAATGGACTAACACCACTGCAGTCCATCACCACACCACTGACTAAAACACCACTCAGTCATCACACACCTGATGACACCATGTCACCAACCACTAAACCACTGCCAGTCATCACTACACCATGACTGGTCCCACTTGCCAGTCATCACCCACAACCATGACTAACAACCACTGTGCAGTCATCTACACCATGACACCACTGCGCAGTCATGCATACACCATGACTGTCACCACTGCCAGTCATCACCACACCATGACTAACACCACTGCCAGTCATCGCTACACCCATGACTGTCACTGCCAGTATCACCACACCATGACTAACACACCATCACACCATACTAACACCACTGGCAGTCATCCTACACCATGACTTGTCACCACTGCCAGTCATCACCACACATGACTAAACACTGCAGTTCATCACTACACCATGACTGACATGCCAGTCATCCACCACACCATGACTAACACCACTGCCAGTCATGGCTACACCATGATGTCACGACTGCCAGTCATCACGTACCCATGACTACACCACTGCCAGTCTCGCTACACCATGACTGTCACCACTGCCAGTCATCACCACACCATGACTAACACCACTGCCAGTCATCGCTACACCATGACTGTCCACCACTGCCAGTCATCACACACCATGGACTGAACACCACTGCCAGTCATCACTACACATGACTGACAACACTGCCAGTCATCACCCACACCCACCATGACTAACACCACTGCCAGTCATCGCTACACCATGACTGTCACCACTGCCAGTCATCACCACAACCATGACTAACACCCTGCCAGTCAATCCTACACATGACTGACAACACTGCCAGTCATCACCACATCCCATGAGCTAACACACTGCCCAGTCATCGCTAACAAACCATGAACTGTCACACCTGCATAGTCATTGCACCGACACCATGACATAACAGCCACTGCCAGTCATGCGCTACACCATGACTTTGTCACGCACTGCAGTCATCACGCACACCATGACTAACACCAACTGGCCAGTGCATCACTAGGTATGTTGTACTACACGCATGACTGGGACAACACTGGCGCAGTCATCACACACCATGACTAACACCACTCGCCAGTCATCGCTACAATCACATTCCCCATTGACTGGTGCACCACTGCCAGTCCATCACGACAGCACAATGACTTAACACCAACTGGCCAGTCATCACC